TGTGTATATGAGTCGAACTGAACTCTCTATGAGTTTGTCTGTATGTGAGTTGTCCGTTGAAAGTCTGTCCCTTTGGTGGGGAGCCCTGCCCTCCTTTTTATAGACCAAGGGGGGAGCAGGGGTTACAGATGGAAGAAAGAGGAAAATACCAAGGGTATAGAAGGTCCTTCGAAGGATTCAGGTCTTCCTTTTTCCCCGCGCCTGACCTGTGTAACATGGCAGATAGTGTCAGAAGTGGCGTGTCCGCTGATCTTCGTAGGCCATGCCCTGGCCCTTTTTAGCAAGTGGGTGCGTCCCATCCCGCCTTTGCGGGCGGTGTGTTGATCTGCATCCCTGTGGGGAGCGGAAGGCGCGGTGACTGCTCGTTTTCCACTGTAGGGGACGGGATTCCCCCCTAGAATGTAGTGGTTGTCGTATGTCTGTGTCGGACTCCTCGCCTAGGGACTGAAGGCGGCGCCTACAACACTGTAGGGCGAAGAGCACGCGCCTGCAACACTATTCAGGCTCTGCTACGCCTGGAAGGGTCTAAGCGCCTGTCCTGTCATGCCCTGGCGGTACTCTCCTGTAGGGGCGCAGGGCATGGTCCTTGATGCTGCGGTTGACCCGAACGTCTTGTCCTACCCTGTGCCTAGCATCATGAGGGAGCGGGGTACAGTTGTCAGGCAAGGCGGAGCCAAACCTTGGACATCGGGCGAGGCGAGGTCCGTCAGGCGAGACGGAACCTAGCCTTCGGAGGTCGGGCGAGGCGGAGCCCAGCCCTCGGGGGTCGGGCGAGGCAGAGTCTAGCCCTCAGCCCTTGGGCGAGGCGGAGCCGTCCCCCAGCCGTCGGGGGAGGCGGAGCTGGCCGACGGGCATCGGGCGAGGCGGAGTCTAGCCCTCAGCCCTCGGGCGAGGTGGAGCCGTCCCCCCAGCCGTCGGGGGAGGCGGAGCTGGCTGACGGGCATCAGGCGAGGCGGAACCAAAACTCCTGTCGTTCGAGCAAGAAGTGCAGCGGTGCTCTTGTCCGTTCGGGAGTTTTTAATGTTCGATGGTTATTAGTTCCATCTCCTTGGGTACCCCGGTTCCCCACAATTTGGTTCATGTACACCCTTATATCTACATATTTATCAGTTACATGCGTAGTTGCCCATTTACATGATTGTAAATATTGTTTTATCACTTTTTTTTATACTTGATAAGATCTGTTTTCCTGTCTTTGTTTGCATGAAGATTTGAATCAGCGTGTTGAGTTACTTGGAAAAGTTGATTGAAGGAATTGGAGGCCCCGCACCCGAAGTTATCGTCAAAGAGAAGACGCCTGTGCAGTTCAAGTTGCTAATTGCTCTGGATGGTACCAAGATTCCTTGTCTAATTGTATCTGCTGTTCCTAAGGATCAGCTGTTATTCTTCGGTGATATCCTCAATCCAAGAGTAGCTGAACACAAAGCAATAATGTCAGTCAAGCTTTTGCTGTTGAAATCCATGACATGAGCCACTCAAAAATCCTTGCATGTCAAATGAAGCTGAATCAGGTTGTATCTATCATAGAGGCTTTCATCCGTCGGTTTCACTCCTTTTTGAAGGAGCACCAGTCATGCATCAATCACTTCTTTTTGGCATTATTTCTTCTTTCAATATCAGGAGAGGAGTGTGCAAGCAAATGTTTTTTAGCATTTTTTAACTCCCTAATTGCTATGTCTTAGTCAGATAGACAGAATAGCCCTTGGTTCAATGGCTCTGATCCATCAAAGATTAGAGATAGCTTAGGAGTTAGCACAAAGGAAATTTTAGGCATGTCCATCAACTTTTTCTGATGAATGTGACATTGGTGTGGAACTTTCAAGGCATTTACAATACTAAATCTTTAGATGGTGTTATTAACTTCAGAGGTACTAACCCAGTTTATAGTCATGCTCTTTGGAAATATACTATTCCCCAAGAGTTCAAAAATTGTGTGCGGCTGCTTTGTAATAACAAACACGATCACTAGAGACAACCTAGTTAACAGAGGGAGTGTTGAAGATAAAACTCGTCTCTTTTGTGGTGAATATGAATCTGTGCAACACTTGTTCTTTTTTCTTTAACTGCTGTTGCTGTCGAAACCTAGAATTGAACGTCTCACGTTTTAGAAGTTTGTATTGTCTCTTTTGAGTCTCAGTTGCTAGATGGTGGATCTCTAAGAAACATGGTGTAATAAATACTCTACTATTCTATGGAGCTTACGGAATATTTGAAATTCTTTATGTTTTCTGGAAGGACGTGAAGGTGCCAAGATCAACAAATAAAAGCGCCGATCTGTATTGGTTGGGATTCAGCAGCATCAACCTCGAGGAGGCAAGAGCTCACAAGATGGGCAGGAATCAGGATCGACCAATATGGTAGTCAACTTGGTGCCCCTGCCATTTGTAGATGTGAGAAACTGAAACTGAGCGGGCGCGGGAGTGGTTGCATGGATGTCTATTCTAATAGTCAGTTTCGAAACATGCATGTTCTAATGGTGGCAGGCATGGTTTTAGAAGTTTATATTGTCTCTTTTGAGTCTCAGTTGCTAGATGGTGGATCTCTAAGAAACATGGTGTTATTCTCAGTTCCGGAGAAGTCAAATATTTTTAATTTTGACCAAAGATATAGAAATAATATTTATAATACATAATTAGCATCATTAGATAGATCATTAAATATATTTTTATAATAAATTTATGGTAAGATACAAATGTTGTTAATATTTTTTATAAATCCTAGTTAAAGTTTAGAAAGTTTGACATGCATGTTTTTATAACGACACTTTATATGGGGCAAAGAGAGTATCTTTTTTTATTCATTCAGCCTGTTCACTTGTTGGTTTCAATTAGAGCTTATCAGCAATAGTACAATATTTTCTTCTCACAACAAACCAGCACCAGCCGAGCTTATCAGTCCAGAAATCAACCAACAAACAGACTGATTACATTAAAACACCTAGTAGGTACCAAAGTGTGTCTAAGTGTAGTACTCCCTTCGTCCCCAAATCAATCATTACTATAATCCGTGTAAGTCAAACTATCTTCATACACACCACCTTGCTAGCCAAAGCACGACTCCTGCAATTGTGTGAGCTGTTTTCACGTCTCTAACCATGGACCACAACTAGCTACTCCCGTCCGGATTGTAGTACTCTCCCAGGACAATTAAACGTTTGAATTTATGTACACTAGAACATCAGGCGCCCTACAATGACTAAAAAATAAAAGTTCGACTGTGTTTGGCTGGACTAAAAAATAAGTCAAAATACTGTTCCGGCTAATTATCGTGAAAGAAAAATACTGTGATAACACTGTTCGCGTGAACAGTGTCCGTGTGAGTGCGCCGGCCAGCCGAACGCAGCCTTAGTCTACACTTGAGAGACGTACGCTTCATAATAAGATGTGGTAGCACTAAGATATTAAACACATTACATATCTATAGTTCTTGCCATACAGTCACAACCATCAGTCCATCATCGGCCTGTAAAGGCAATACAATGACAATATTTCTTAATACAGAAGTAAAGGCAACACAATGACAATATTTTGAAGTAGATCCAAACGGCCATGTAGGTGACTACCGCGATAATCTGGACACATGAGCTATACTCAGTAACTCAGACCATGTAACAGGAATGGACATATAAAAACACCCCACGATCATAAGGATCTCCTACCACTTACCAAGCTCCTAGACGTGAAGTGATAGTTTTTTCATCCAAGAGTCCTGTACTTGCAACCCAAAGAAACCAAGCCAATCAAACAACAGACCTGCAAAAGAATGCTAAAGTTCAGAGAGCTTCTCATATTTCGCTACAATGCTCGAAAAGATCAACAGGATCCATGTGCATACATACAGTGAGGGGATACCTTTGGTCTATCAGCTTGCTTAATTTTCTGGCATATTTGGTCCATAAGCTATACTTTTGACAACCTACAGCTATACTTTTTTGACAACCAACATACTCAGTAAGCTACTAACCAAACAATAAGTTCATGTAAAATACTATTTGCTGCCCCTGAACAAAATATGTCCATATTCAGTAAGCTACTAATCAATCTCCTGGCACGAAAAAACCGGAAACTATGTGTCATAATTGTAAGAATTCAGATTTATCACAAATCCACAAACACCGGATTCAGTAGCAAGAGTAATCAGATAGCTTGACAATTTTCTTGCGCTCAGCTCATGGAGATCGCTCGAAGCATCGAACACCTGCTGGAGTGGTAATTCCACTCACAAGCGCAGGACATGAGCACATCAATCAAAAAATAGAAAAGACATACAAAAAAGAGGGGGGCACTGACCTCCAGCTACAGATGCAAGCAGTGAGAGAGGGGCTCAGCTTCTGTTTCGACAAGGCAGACCGACCATCCGCAGCACCGCCCGGCCCTTTAATATGTCCATCTCTATTGTAACAAACAAAGAAGAATGATTTCAGTCTGTGGTGGCAACATGGTACACGTTCGAGATCAAATATTACCTAGATAAAGCTATATATGCATATGAAAAAATTATCAGTAGAAGCATCCGACCACTAAAGAGGTAACACCAGCATTCATATTTGGACCAGAGCCATTAGAAAGATGCAGAAGTTCCCCCCAACAGAGTGACTGTAAAAACGCAATGTTAAATGGTAGTCGGTAGTCCAAAGATTAACCCAACATAATGCAATATTCTACAACCAAAGAGCTACTACATGATATGTAATTCAGATAGGTGAAGTTGATCAGAAATATTCTCAACAACTACTCTCCAAGAGTATTCCTTTTGAGAGTGACATGTTCACTCACATTAAATCCCAGCTCTTAGTGGTGTGCAGGTCGAGAACACAATTCCACACCAGTCGCAACCCTAATCAAATCTTGTATACCAAAACACAGAAGTGAAAAGTGAGCTCATACACGAAAGCAGAAGGTCTAAGCAAGGACATGAGATCAGTCATATGCGAATCGCTCACCTTGAGCCTCTTCGGGATGCAAGGAGGACGGTGACGCGCAGAAGGTCTAGGCAAGGACATGAGATCAATCAAATGCGAATCTCTCACCTTGAGCCTCTTCAAGGATGCAAGGAGGACGGTGACGCGGACGTGTGCCAAAGCTTCCACAACTTTCTCCACCAGATCTCGCACGCTGCCGGATCTGCGCCGCCGGATCCAGCACGGCTCCACATACTCCCTCGCGCTGCAAAGTCCGCGCGTCTTCCCATGCCCTGGCTACGACGGCACTCGTGCCGGCATAGAGGCGATGCATGGAGGAGAGGGCACGGAGGGGCTATCGCTCCCGCCTCCACCGACCATGGCTGCCGCGGGGACCAGCAAGATCCGGCCGATCCACGCGCTCCGCCGTGCTGCAGAGGCCGTGCGACTTCCATGCTCGAGTGCCGGCGGTGTGGAGGCTACGCGGGAGGAGAGGGAAGAGAGGGGCGGAGGTGGGGGCGGCGGGGAGAGGAGAGGATGGAGAGAGAGCACGAGGTCGGGGAGGGCTGCGGGTGCGGGGTGGGAGCAGGGGTGTTTCTGGAAAACTGCGATTACTGTTCTCGGCAGTGGAGTTGGACTGCGGGTTGATTCCTCGAAATTCAAAGGGCCTTTAAGCAAAAGCTGTGAGGGCGCGTGTCGCAACGCGGAGAAGCCATTGGATTCTGTGGGTGAAGCGGGAGCCGAGTGGGTTTGGTTCGAGCTACTAGTAGCTCTGAAGGTACAGTCATTTTTAGTAACTCTATAGTTACAGAGAGGATTAAAGTTTTTTTAATAGTTTTTAGTCGTAGCGTTTGATTAAAAAATTACTAAAGTAAGTAAAAGCTATTAAATTTAGTAGCTACTAGACGAACCAAACAAGCCCTTAATCAACGCTCTCACTCTCGTTAGGATAAGATTGTAAAAGAAATCATTGTATATATGTTTTTTGTAATTTTTAGGGAAGTGGTACACTAACGTACCTAAGATGTACTTCTTTTGTGGAATGAAGTTTTTGTCATAATGTACTATTATTTACTATAATAGCGTATTTAGTTAAGAACATACACATAAATAATACATACACATATATATTGTTTCATAATGTTTGGAGTTGCATATTAAGGATGGAGAAAAAGAATTAGAATTTGACTTGAATTTATGATTAAAGCCGCATGAAATTAACGTGGTGTACTCGTGTGGTTTGCTTAAATTTAAAATCAAGCAAGTTTTATTTTACATACTTGGCGTACAGATATAAATATTCCCTCTGTCCAAAAAGAATGCAACTCTAGAATAATATTGCATTAAAATATTTCAAGTTTAACTAAATTTATATAAAAATACTAGTATTTATCGTACTAAATAGGCACTATTAGATAAGTCATGAAACATATTTTAATAGTATTTTTATTTAAAGTCAAAAGTGTTAATATTTTTTAATTATATATCTTGTCAAACTTTAGACACTTTAACCAAGAATAAATTTTGAATCGTATTATGTTTGGGACGGAGATGGTATACTCATGGGCGAACTTACATTTTGTTTTGTTAACTCTGGTGCAGCATACCCGGTATCGATAACAATTAAGTGTAATAGGTACTTCCTCCATCCCATAAAAAGTGTTATTCTCGGCTCCCAATAAGTCAAACGTTTTTAACTTTGACTAAATATATAGAAAAAATATTAATACTTAGAGTACACAATAAGCATCATTAGATAGATCATTGAATATTTTTATAACAAACTTATCTAGAGATAAAAAAATGTTTCTAACATTTTTATAAACCTAGTTAAAGTTGAGAAAAGTTCGACAAGCATGTTTTCCATAACGACGCTTTATATGGGGCAGATAGAGTATCTATTTTTATTCATTGCATTAAAATACCTAGTAGGTACCAAAGTGTCTCTAAGCATAGTACTCCCTCCGTCTCCAAATCAATCAATTCCTAGAATACGTGGAAGTCAAACTATCTTAAATTTGACTAGCTTTATAGAAAAGAATAACAGCATCAAAGACATAAAATGAGCACATTATGAGAATATATTTTATGATATATCTAATGATGCTAATTTGATGTCATAAATCTTAATGCTTTTTTCTAGAAATTCAGTCAAAGTTTTAAAAAATTTCACTTAACACAACTTAAAAATCTAATTATTGAGGGACAGATGAAGTACCACACAAGAAGGAATCTATTTATTCACCAACAGAGTACCACAAGAAAAGACTTGATGACGCTTGCAATTTGTCATGGATATGCAATATAAAAATAATAAATATAATCCAATGTTGTGGCTCAGGTGCATAAGCTGACGCATTTGGTGTAGAGGTGCTTGTGGTGTTTGTTCTTGGCCAAAAGCATCAAAAGATGCCTGGTCACCACCACTTCAACAATACCGGCTTCCTCCGAATTTTGTGGCGACAGATGGTTTTTATAAGGAATTAAAGGCATGGCATAAATCCAGAGTTTTGAGTTTTGAAGTTAAATATGACAAAGACATGGCATAACTCTAGTATACCGCATAGTAGTGCACTAGTATGTGACACTCCAGTCCTATAGAAGTACTGTACAAAGCTATTAGAGAGCATGTTCGTTGGTTGGTTTCAGTCAGAGCTTATCAGTCATGATACAGTGTTTTTCTCTCACAACAAACCAGCACCAGCCGAATTTATCAGCCTAGAAATCAACCAACGAACAGGCTTTTGACTTGTTAGAAATAAAGAGGAGCACTAGTACATCAAGAAAGATGCCATGCTACTCGGAATGGTCATAGATTAATCAAAGCAGTTCTTGTCTGTTCCTTAAGCTGGCTCATCTAGGCTAGTTGAACCTAGAACAACCAAGGAGATGCATCTTCTTCCTCGTAGAGATCATGGATCAAATCCAGAATAGATTCCCATCCTAAGGAAAATTTCAAAACTATCATCAACAACAGTAAGCAAATATAAAAAGAAAGGTATTATTTAATGTAAATGGAATCAATAAGGAATTAAACTACAAAAACATGTGTCGTCAAACACAACAATGGATGGCAAATTTATAAGGTTTTGGAACTCTATGGTCTTCAAAGGTATCCAATGGAAATATCTTGACTTTTTATACTGTAGAGCAGTAGCCAGAGTGCGGCTACCACCAGTACTACTGTATAGAGCAGTTGCCAATAGAGGCAAAATAGCTAAGGAGCTCATGGATGGTACTGATGTGATATTTTAAAGAAAGGATGTATAAACACTTCATCTGTTTGTAAAATATTTATGACAAAATAATTAAATAAAAAATAATATAATTAACTTGTTGACAGGCTTTGTTGTTATTGTATAATTAACCTGTGCTTAAACATCATCTTAAAAACAGTGGCAGTATGTTGAATCAAAATACTTTGTATATAAAGTATAAACATATGGCAACAAAAAAACATATGGCAAGTATGGTGGGCGCAGGAAGGGAGAATAGGATAGTGGAAGAGTACAAAGGACACCAGGAGAGCGTCGAGTAGACATCAAAGCCAACCTATTAAAATATTACATATCAACCATTCTACCATGCTAGAAAGGAGCATCCTCCTGCAGTATTAGAGTTCATGCAGTACATCTACTTTAGCACTACTGGACTAGAAGCAGCAACTCTGAGACACTTTTTGTCATCCACTAGCCAAGCATAGCAGAGGTGAAATCATTATTTCACTGCTTTTTTAAAATTTGTAGCAGCAAGCTTGCATAGTAGTAGAGAGGCAGCACATATCACAGGGTGATGCATCAAGAAGCACTAAAAAAGTCACAAGTCGCTATTTCCATATATGCATCTAAATAAGTACACACAAATGTGTTAAACAGAAGAAAAGTCAAGTGGCACTAGATAACCACATTTGCAAACTTGATTTGCCTCTATTTATAGTTTATAGTATACATCTATCTTAAGCTGTATACTGCATTAAATATCATGACTAATATGTTATCAAGTTATTTTTTTTAAATGAAGGTCAAATCATCCTTGGGAGTCTGATGTTTCTCATTCGACTTCAAACATGGTACACAAAAAAAAAATCAAAATAACAGATTGTATTGTTCAATACAGAAAGCATGATGGAGTGAAAGTTGGCTGTGCAAGAATATAATTGAATCCAAATGTTTCATCAATGTTGGCTCAGAGTGAGGAAGTCCAGATTTGAGAGTCATAACTCACCAAGAGACAGAGAAGGGGGCGCCACGCGCTCCGCTTTGGGGTCCCTGCACTTGCTGTAGGGGGGCGTCGATGCTGGTACCCAGGGGGGCCGTCGGTGACACTGTGGCGCCACCGCAGGCGCGCACGCCGCACGCCGCACGGAGGAACCAGTGCGGTGAGTCGACGCGGAGAAGGAGCCACAACGGGGAGCCGTTGCGTGCTTGTCGTAGCTGTGGCAAGGTCCGGTGGGTGCGAGGGCGGAGTACCATCAGCATGTTCGCTGGGTGTGTTCGGCTTATAACCTATGACTTATCGGCCAATGAATAGTATTTTTTTCTCGCACCAAATCAGCAAATAGTACTTTCAGCCATGGCTTATTAGTCAAACAAGCCCAAACAAAAAGGCGCATATTGACGTGTTCCAGACATAATATAAGTCACAAGTATTGCTTCAAAAGCAAGTGGATAAGCATCAGAGCATCTGCAACATATTAGCCAAAAGGAATATGTAAATTTAGTGATTTTTGTATTTTGTAAAATGAATTCCTCTTCAAAAAATAGACTACCCCAACAGACTATCTAAATTGAGACTCTCTATATTTAAACATGTCATGTCATCAGATTTTTTCTCTTCCCATCGATCATGATCCCGTCCGCTCTCTTTTCGGATCATCACAGGCGCCGCCTCGAACTCAAGTTCCGCAGCAGGGGCCGGTTGCCTGGAACTCCATCCCGATCCCATCCGCTGGTTGCCGGCTGCCTAGGCATCATCAACGCTCACGTCCACCAGGCCACAAGGGGCTGTCGCCCAACCATCAGGGCATGGCCGGCCGCACATCTTGAAGGGCATCACGGTAGCTGGCTGCCCTAGCCGTGTAGGAGGTTTGCTTAATTTGGCCATAATTTTGCAAATTGACACAGATAATTATCTCGATTGATTAGAGAATTTGTCCTTCTATCCTACAGCTTAAGGTGTGTTAACGATGGATTCTGAAGATGAATTCTATGATACAGTGTTCAATGAAGTGCTTGAGTCATCATCTTCGGACGATGAGGATGATTTATATGTTGCTACTGCACACATAGTAGCAGAGACCAATGACAAGCAACCATATCGCCGAGGTTCTATTAATGGACATCGCGTATTGAATCGTGATAGGCAGTCCGGGTACTCCAGACCTTTTTAAGACTATTTCTCAGATGATCCTACGTATGGGGTGAACTATTTTAGGCGGAGGTTTGTACTTTTCCCTCATAGTATGATTTTTTTTGTACATAGGTGCATGTGTGGCTAATTAATTAGTCTTGTGCCATAGATTTTGAATGAGGCGTCATGTGTTTGTTCGTATAATGAATGCTGTTGAGGAGCCTGATGACTACTTTGTGCAAAAGAGGAATGCAACCGATATCCTAGAACTACCTTGTTTGCAAAAGGTGGTGGCAGCATTTCGGATGATAGCTTATGGTGTAGCGGCTGATGCTACTGATGACTATGTTCGTATTGGCGAGAGTACTGCTCTAGAAAGTTTGAGAAGGTTCGTCGTAGCTGTTGTTCAAGTATTTGGACCTGAGTACATGAGATTGCCTAATGAACAAGATACGGCTAGATTATTTTGCAATTGGTGAGAGCAGAGGTTTCCCAAAAATGCTTGATTCCATAGATTGCATGCATTGGACCCGGAAAAATTGCCCTGTTTCATGGCATGGTATGTACCGAGGGCATAAAAAGGAGCCTACAATTATACTAGAAGCGGTTGCCTCTAAAAATCTTTGGATTTGGCATGCATTCTTTGGATGCCAAGCTCGCACAATGATATCAATGTTCTTCAAAGATCTCCTATATTTGCAAGGCGTGCTGAAGGTGACGGTCCACAGGTTAATTACTACTTCAATGGGAATGATTATACAATGGGTTATTACCTCGCAGATGGCATATATCCATCTTGGGCCATGTTCGTGAAGACCATACCAGAGCCACAAGGGAACAAGAAAGAAATATTTTGCCAAGGCACGAGAAGCTTGTAGGAAGGACGTTGAACGAGCATTTGGGGTTCTACAAGCTCGCTTTGCATTCTCTAAAGGGCCAGCTCGTGAGTGGGATGAGGAAACGCTAGCAGCAATCATAATTTGTTGAATGATTACATTTTCTGTTATAGCGATTTGTATTTCCATTCAGTTATTGAACAAACTGTGCACAAGGCTGTCAGGATTTGTGTTTCCATTCAGTTATTGAACAAACTGTGCACAAGGCCATGTCTCATTCACAGGGAACAAATGCAGTACATCAGTCACACTTGTTGCAATCTGAGAACTAGGAGTGCAAATATAGTTCACTCACAGGAACTGCTAATGTCACAATCTGAGAACAAGTACTTAAAATATATTTAAAGGGTAGCGACAAATAGAAACAATGACACATCTAATTATTTAGGCGTCTTAGCACGTATGGCATTCTTAAGCACTTCATAGTACTTATGCTGGTCAGTGCGCAAGTGACTTGTGTCGACATTCATAATTCTCTCTTCTTCCAGGTTCTTGTTGAACTCAAATTGTTCCCTTTGTAACTCAAGTTTTTCTTTCTCCAGTCTGATCCTTTCTTCCTGCAATGTGAAGGCTTTCTTGTACCGCTCCTCTTTCTTCAACTCCTCTGCATCAGCTTCTTTCTTTTTTACCAAAAGATAATTCAACGCTTCGATGCTGGAATGTTGCCATAATTTCTGCTTCTCCTTCTTTTGCCCTGGAGATCTCTGAAGTGCACTATTAGAATGTTGATTCTCATCAACAGTAGCAGCGGGCAGAAAAGGAGGAGCCGATGTACGACTTGAATTGGCTGAAACCTTCTGCTTTTTACTGATTGGCTTCTGGGTTTCCATCTGCTTTTGCCTATCTGCCCACTTAGCTTCGCCTTTTAATAATTTCCAGCAATGCATGTATGGAAATTGTCTATGCTGCTTGTCTTCTTTAATAAACATTTTCAATGCATCTGCTTGCTACATAGTGGACAAAGATGAATGTGTGAGATGCATCGAAATCATATATACAATTGGAAAGGGAAAGGTGTGTCGTCAAACCTTGTCATCGATGGTCACTCCACTTTGATTTCTGCCTTCAATCTTGGAAAGACAACCCGCAAAGAGGTTCACATCATGCTGCATACCAGACCAACGGTTCATCAGAGAGCCTTGCGAGCGATCAGATGAGAAATCCTTGTGGGCATGGAAATGTGCATGTATTCGTTTCCAATATGTGGTACGTGATTGGTCCACACCTTTCACTGGATCCAAGCTCACGTTTAGCCACGATTTGACAAGTTGTTCATCCTCATCAATTGTGAAATTTTTTGTTCTTTTCGGATTTCCTTTCCCTGTTGCTTGAACCTCATCTTGTGCTTCTACTTCCTGAGCAGGAGGTGGAATTTCAGACTGATTAGCAAGACCAAAGCCATTTGTAATCAGGTCAGTGTAATATCCCCCTGAATCCATGGCACCTGTGAAGCAAAGAACAAAGAATATTGAATTCATAAATTATTACCGATGCATATCCCTAGTCTCAATTGAGCTGAAGCATCTCGTACAGAGCAGAAAATTTCAGAACATGTATGACCAAGAACTGCTAAATACTATATTGAAGAAAAAAAAAAAAACTGCTAAAAAAATAGGTACAGAGCTGTCACAAACAATAATCTCAGTTTGCTTCAAATATGTATGTATTATTCAACAAACAATAATATTAGTGACAATACAAGTAAGTTCAGCCTTGCTGTGACAATCAGACTTGACTGATTGTCAATCCAAGGCCTCAAGTGACCTCAGCCTGTCCTACGAAGTGCAGGAAATAAACTCAGTAACATGACAGAACTGCTGAAAACTACATGTCTCTTTCAAGCAAAGGTTAATCATTTGGTTTTTAAAATTAAAACTATGCCTTGCTCTCTATAAGATGCAACAGCTGCAAAGCAGCAAGAATAATATTAAAAAAACTGACCTTGCCCATTTCCTTGCATCAATGCTGCACAAAGAAACAATAATATTAATTTCCAATCTAAATGTCACTCTGAAACTGGAGAAAATGTATGAGTTCAGTCTCAACAAATTTCTATCTGTACTAGAGAAAATAAACCAGTTCAGTTCCTAAAATGTCACTCTGATGCTGGAGAAATCTAGCCAATTCAGTCTCAAACAAATTTCGACCTCATACTCACATAGGACATATTGACATAACCGAACATCACCTTCTGAAATTGCTATTTGTACTGATCACACAGCCAAACATCACTTTCTGAAATTGCTACAAAAACTCTCCATTGGCATCACTTCTGAATGCAATTATTCCCACACAAGAGGACATGTATAATTTAGCCATCCACTACAGTATATTACCAAAATTCATCCATTGAACAGAGGAGCAAGATATGGACAACAATCATGCCAACTCATTGTTAGATTTTCTTTTCCGAATTAAATCATTTCTGCTCAGAGCAAGACCAACACACTGCTATGAACAAACTGAGAAAAGAAATAAAATTAGCAAGGCGTCACCAGACAATTCCTCCTCGCCGTCGACCTGGACTGCACTAGGGAAGGGGAAGTGCGGTGGCTGCCCACCGGTTGAGAAAGAGAACTGCTGTATCTGGGCACCCAAGCCCATGGGAGGCACCACCCGACGGCGCAGCAATCCGACCCCTCCGTTTTCCATCCAATCCAAATTCACAAGCTCCTCGCAACCACTGGAATCCTGGCTTCCTTGACTCATGGAACTACCAGGCAACTGGAGCATCGGAGAAGACCGGGCGCCATACCCCACACGCAGCCGCCAGAACAGGAGGACGCGGCGGCAGAGACATGGGGGGGGGTGCTTGCAGGGGGGCGACGAGCAACAGATTGGTGAGGGAGGTGGGCGGAAGCAGCTGGGGACACACCTGTTCGTGGGAAACTGTAGGTGAAGGCACGGGATGGGAAACGCCGAGCGCGCCAACAGGCCGGATGGCGAGCGATGTGGGCTGTCAAGGAATAGAGAGCGGAGGGAGAGGGATGGAGAGCGATTAGATTTGGAGAGTCAGTTGGAGACTTTTTTTTTCTTAGTAATAGCTAAATTTAACTTTACAAAACGTTTTACATCATCTCTTGGAGATGCTCTTAAGAATGCTAGATTCAAAGTATTGAAAGATCCAAAAAGAATCAGAGTTTGGAGGCAACTCTGCTTCCCAATAGCTATTTGACTGTTGCCTTTTCATTTCCCATTGCTCCAAGAAGATGAATACAATCATCATGAGAAATGCCATCATGGTTTCATAATTTATACAACTAAAAATGTAACCAATATGAATAGAAATTTGTTATCTACAAAATTAAACGAACTTAAATGCAACAAGATCAGGATACAAGCAGTGTAACCAACACAAAAACATAATCATGGCTACATGCCAAGTTTGAAGTTGCATGATAGGGATAATTAAGCTGACACTCCAGGATCAGGAAGTGCCATAGTGATACATGATTGCCGTGATGCCAGCGAATTAATGTAGGCAACATAGTAAAGTACAAACATTGACATTGTAAAACAACAGATCAACAGCTAGCAAATTGTCTAGAAAAGCATATCACCTCAGTGTTGCGGCTACTGTAATTGCACTGGTGCATCCATAGAACTGAATACAATGACATCAATCATTTAGCTGTGACATAACTTGTCTTGCTCCATGGCTAAATCTCGATTGACTATTTATACACCCAACATACTGCATTCTTTCATTTGTAGTTAGCATCACTATTACCACAACAATTCTATCAGGCCAAAATTATGTTACACTATATAAGCAAGCATGTACCAAATGTTACTGGCCCATAATTAACAGATATAAACATATAACATGTGCACTACTAAAATAAAACCAAAAGATTTAGTACCATACTTCATGCCAGGTTAAGCTAAAACAAATTCCAATACTAGGAGGCAGATTACGATAAATAAGAACACCAGGATGCCATATACATGCTAGTAGGCTAAATTATATTGCATACAACATTGCTGCATCACAGTTCTGGCCACTCAGTGGTAGCGTTATTCATTGCATCACTGATCTGATCTAATATAAAGTACTCCTATATGATATATGCTTAACACATCTAAAGTTGCAATAGTAACTCAGTATGTCAATTGTCACAGAAAACTTCTACGGACAGTTCATAAACATATTCATGACCACCAACCAAGTTTTACAAAATCAACACTTAATTGATCAGATCTAGATCACCTCAGAAACAGGTAAGTGACACAAAACACCATATGAATGTTTCAAGTTCTCATATAATTGAGATAAAGCAATCCCAGGTGTAGCCTGTTCTAATTGTCAGCAGCTTTAAATAACGAACATATCAATCCTAAATAGCTTAATAGTTTTCCCAGGGAAGATATCAATTCCAAAACAGTTTTGACAAGGTAACTCAGTATGTCATTAGCCAGGGAGACACGCCCAATGCTTATTAGGTTATACAAGTTGTCACACAATGGCAGTATCTTGGTTTCGATGTTAAACTACAAACCTTCAGGTTTCTAATTAAAAAAAATGGGACAAGAACTTGGGCGAGTCACCCTGGGCTAGATGGGACTAAACACCGGCAATCTCACATCAAAATGTGCATGGGCCACAAAGATGATTGAAAATAAAACATTGGCAGATCAGAAAATTGCTAGAGATAAATGTTAGAAATACAATTCAGTACAAAGGCAATAAATATTAATTAAAATCAAGAATGCAGCACATTTGACGAGTAGCATAGAAGCTGAAATGTTCCATGTTGTTCCTACAATCCACGTTATGATGCCTAATTTAAAATCACAAACATATGCTACAATCAAATGTTTGTGTAGACAAATACATATAATATATGATGTGCAAATATGTAAATGCCTCATTTTTCTTATTGATGCTCATTACATATGAAAGTGCCTCACCCTGCTACATACCAAAAAGGAGTAGAATGGGAGTCCTGAATGTAACACTAGTACACTACATAATGCCCGTGCATGGAAGAATTTTTATTTTATTTTTAACACTTTTTGTAAACTAATTTTAAATCTAACACTATTTTATTTTTTTTTCCAAAACTAACACTTTTGCCCGTGCCTATTTCCCTGGCGCGGCGAAATGCGCCTGTGTCGCCCCATGCATGGTGGCGCGGCGACGACATCAACAATCGACCGGGTGACGTGGCGGTCTCTCTACGCGCCATAGCCACACGGCGCCGGCACTAACGCCGCTTAAGGCCACAGCCGCGGCAAAGACTGAACGCAGCATGGTTTACCAACCTCAATTGCAATTGAACGAGAGCTATTGTCGGTGCTGTAAACAACTACAAGTGCTGCAACGATGCATTGAAACGAATATGAAGCAAATAAATGGAGTCCGTGCGCAAGTTGACAAGTTACCACATAACATTTTCATTGGTTCGACATAAGTTCGACATAATTAACTAAGTCTACAAGTTTCGGATGACAATATTCGTTCGACATAACCAACTAAGTCTTAGAAGTGTAAGGATACCTCAGACGCCTCTATCTCTTTGGATTTGTAGGCAACACATTGGGAGTGTAGCCAACGTCGGTGTGGTCGCGTTGTCGGTGTTTATAGCTCGTACCCTACAAGTATATGATATGCACGATTACTTATAATCTTTATAATCGTTTGTTCATGGAGCCTACGTATTTAAAGAAACTACATTTGTTATAACCTGTGAGGCCCCTTGGGTATCAAGCGGGGCACCACCTAGCTGAGACATGCCGATCTCGTCCTGCTACCAAGGGTCCCACTGGTGGTGCTGTATGCGGAAGCCCAGGGGGTCGTCGTCGTCGTCATCGTCGTCGCCGCGTCCTCGTCGAGGTCGTTCGTCGTAATGTGGCGATGTTTTGCGGGTCCTTCCAATAGCTATAATGTGGCGATGTACGCAACAACGGAAGCGAGCACCGTGGCGACCGCGCGAAAGAGCCCACGTGTCCTCAAAGAGCCGAAGACGTGGCACCCGACCAATGACGCCGCCAGAAGACGGGCACCCACCCACCACCCAAGGAGTGTCCATGTAGCTCAACTTCGAGCTAGCTTCCTCAGACTCGCTTCACCTTCATCTATTTAATAGACGTTAAAATTAATGCATTTTCCAAACGCATATGCACTAAAGAAATATTTTCGGAACGGACAAGTTTATGTTTACCTCCACAAAAGCCTCGAGAACGCTTGGCCCCTGCCCTCTAGACTCGTGAAGCCGAAACGCTGCTTCGTTGGACAGCCTTGACAATTGTGTCGCCTGGGTATAAAAACGCGGTTAGACAGTTTTAGTACACATACTTAATACCTAATGGATAACAAATTATACCATTCGAATATCTTACCACGTATCTTTGAAGCGGGGCTCTCTGTAGTTGTGTGTCGTCCCTAGTGGCAACGTCGTACACATCTTCTTCGTCGTCCTCGTCAATCGCCTCCTTAGTGTATGGAGGTTTGATATGTGTCCTCGTAGACCTATGAAGCCACCGCAGGTACTCATCAAAGGTATGTTGGTCGTGTGAGGGACCCACATCGATCGGCTGCCGGTCCCTGGTCTGCCACAACTGGATGTACGCGTTGTGTCACGCGTCAATCCTTGGTCTTGTACCTCTTCCTGCGGTCATACCTGCAACAAAATGATTGTTAGTTGTACCATATACATCTCTAAATTGTAGCTTTGTTATTAATCAATAACGCACCCGTGCAATTCTTGGTTGGTGGAGTAAAGCGATGGTGGATAGCCTGACATTCTTCCAAACTGCCTGCAAACCCTGATGGACAAGTGAATCTCAACCACGTGGAAGAAAATAAGAGGGACGTTGCAGCGATACTCGTCTGACTCATCCCTAGTGACAGAACTCAGATAGTCCTGGAGCTCCGGAGCATCCCAAGGACACCAATGCACCTGAACATTTTGTAATTGAGTTAGATTGTGATATAGTGTACATCGAACAAGACACATATATGATAATAAAGAGAGGATAACCTGGTGCTGTGTCAGGACGTCGAGACAGTCCGTGTACTCCCTGTACTTGCACCTCGCATTCCCTTTAACTAACTCTGCTTGCGTCCAGATATACAGAGCTGTAGGCAGTGTATCCTACCCGTTCCAATGCTGCATTGAATACGATAATGAATTATCCATTAATAATTTCATTATATGTAACTGCCTTAAAGAATATAGTGAACCAAAATACTTACAGGAAAACCAGTAATAAGAGGCCTCCCAACGGGCCATCGTTCCCAACACCAAATTTGGAGTAGGTAGGAGAAACCCCAAGGTTCGCATACCCTGAGGTGCGACGGCAGACAACACATAGCTGTCGATACATCCATGCCAAGACTGCGCTGCCCCAACTATATGCCGCTATGTTATCCCACGGCTGGCGTAGTATGTCAAGAAATATCCAGCTAATGGTGTTGCCCGAGACGTCTGGAAATAGAAAAGCACCAAGAAAGTGCCAAAGCCACACTCTAGCGAACCTGTCGATCTGAGCCTCATCAGCCTGTGGGTCCAAGTAATCAAAGCGCTATGTGATCCACGACGACGAAACACCGGAACTTTTTCTGAAATTCACCAAAGAAAATGAGACCCGATGGCTGCAAG